ACACACACTCAGACACACACACACACACACACACACAAACACACACACACACTGATCCATTAGTGCTCCCTGTTAATGAAGCACTACATCCTAATTAAACTCATTTGGACGGTTATTGGTGATTCAGTGTAAACACGTTCATTACACCGTCTTCAGTCATGTGACTCTCCTCCCGCTAGCGTCACTAAATATGAGCATCTCGTTATTGATTTGATGTTATTTATGGGACAAGTTGTCATAAACACTTTGTTTTCCTTTGAATTGTTACGACCCATCAATCAATACTTTTGATTAATTAACCCAAAGAGGCAATGCAGAACTATTGCAGAGAAATCAATACTAACAGAGCAGAATGAAGAACAGGAAGTTCAGAAGTGCGGCTCTTCTGCTTCGTTTCTGCTTCATTAGATCTCTGTAATCTAACCACGCATGCACTTAATGAAGGAATATAATAGACCATGTGCTTTAATAGTGTCGAAAGCATACATTAAATTACCATATGGTCTTTATTTTTGATATGGAAATGTGATTTAGAACGGAGAAAAGGAAATTTTACAGATTTTTATGTATTTATGCATCACTTGCATTAGTTTCTCTTCAGTAATTGCTGTGTTCATGTTTCATGTTCAGTTCCCTGATTGAGGAGAGCAACGTCTCTGTGCACGAATTACATCTGAACTCACTCTCGTTATAAATCCCACACGGTTGAGATTTCACAAATTCACTCCTTGGATTTTTACATGAAAATGTATACTGTATTGTACATATAGTTAATTGGATGGAGTTTCTTAAGTGCAGATAATACTGCTCATATCCTTCGGAAAATAAGTAAAATAATTCATAAGATATATGTTAAGGATTTTATTTAAAATGTTTTTGAATTGTCAGTTGAATTGAAGAAGTAATGTGGTTTTTCATGACCATTTTCCACCGTCTCTGACCTTTAGAAATGAAAGACATTTAAATGAATGCTCAGGGATACTAGTATCTGTCCTGCTTCCTCTTTAATACGTCACCTGATCCCTCGATAGGCGTCGCTGACAGGTGAATGTGGGCGGGCATATGCTAATGAGCTCGTGATGTCAATATTGTGCTGATTAGTTTCAGTAAATTAGAGTTCTGAGAGTCACTACTGTATATTTTCAGAGTACAATGAACTTTATTTTAAATCAAAATATTCTTAATCGTTTAACCTCTTTAAGAGAGGAAATCTTCAGATGTCAAAGGAAAGACAGCAGTGAAAAAAACAAGATGCCAATTTGAGCTCTTATAAGCGCAGGATGGCTGTGCTGTCAGAATCTGATAAATATCACGCGGTCTGTCCTCCTGCTTTAGTTTCTGTTGGATATTGTGCAGAGAAGCTGATGGACAGTTAAGTGTTTGTTTCTGTTTTCATTGGTTAACTCTAACCTTTACCTGCCAAACCTGGTGTCAGCCTCAGCGGCGGTCTGTTAATGATGTTCGTTTGTGCAGTAACGAGAGTCTCTTTAATTCAGTTCAATTCAATTCAAGATTATTTGTACAGCGCTTTCACGATACAAATCATTGCAAAGCAACTTTACAGCAAATTAAGTTTCTACAATATTTAGTGGTAGCTTATCAGTGGTGACTGTCAGTTAATGTACATATGGCAGAAATGTACGGAAAAATCTCTGATGTTTTATGAAAGGTCCTGAATGTTTTGCGGTAGACAGCGATTGTAAAGATGTATGTGATGTGTTTTGATTGACAGGTTCAGTTTGACGGACAGGAGGAGAGGGCGGGGCCGTGTGAGTTTGATTGACAGGTTCAGTTTGACGGACAGGAGGAGAGGGCGGGGCCGTGTGAGTTTGATTGACGGCGTCTGATTGTTTGTTTTCTCTCTGAACATCGCAGAGTCAGATGCACTTCACAGCATGTTAATTGCTGCAGGCAGACTCAGCAGCGTTATGAACAGAAGTGACGACAGAATATATGAATCACGGTGACATCAGATTGTGAAGGATCTGCCGTGTGTTTTGTTGATTTGAAGCCTCAGCTGGCTGCCGTCCTGCTCTCCGGTTTTGCGATATCACCGTTATTTATGACCTTCCTCTGCTCTTCTTTTCTGGTTGTCGTACAAATGTGTCCCAAGCTGGACCCGTTTGAGGACACCCGTCCTTATCTGCATTTGCTCCAGGACGTGTTTTAATCAGACGGGAAACCTCAGAGACCTGATGAAATTGCCCTTTAGATTGATTATCCTGACACTGCCATCGTAAATAAGAGCGGAGTAACTATCATCTATGATAGACTGACGTGTGTGTGTGTGTGTGTGTGTCAGTGCACATGTCATAAACTGCTGATTGGGCCGCTTGAGTCTGGAGAGCGATGGACCCGCAGCCGGTGTGATTTTACGGGCGTTTGTTTTCCTGTTGTGTGATGGTTTGGTCGGACAGCTTTGAAGAGTGCCTGCATTTCTTCTGCTCGTTAGTGTCAAAACTGTAAAAGCTCTGAAGGTCCGTCTTGACGAAATTAATTTCAGCTTGTCATGGTTTGTCTGTAAATGAGAATAAAAATGCAGATGAGGTAACGGAGTGTGTTTGTGTCTGAAGAGTAGGAAAGATCCGTCTCTGACCAGAAATAAAAGTACTTTCTGTCTCTTGATTGACCAACAGTGTCTTTCTTGTCTGTGTTTGATTCTCTGGTGTTTAAGGGGCATGAACTAGAATCAGCAGGACACAACACAAGGTGCTCTGAGATGCAGAAGCACACGGAGCGTTTATCTGTGCTCTGCTGTGAAACAGACTGATTACTGAACTTACACTAGACCACAGAATGCATCTCAGTTCAGTCTGCTAGACTTGCTTATGTTTGTGCTGCGCTTTTGTACTTTCTAGCTTCACGTAGTTTTTCTTCTAAAATGAGACATGTGTGATGACTGGGAATCAGTGAGGAGTGCTAGAGTCTTTCAGAGACAGGAGAGATGAGGATCTGTGAGCGATTAATAAGAGATTCTTCACGCGTTTAACGTGTGTTTGTTTGCTCCATGACACTCATTCAACAGAAAGTCTGTCTGTCCCAGATGACCCCAGACTAACGACTAACGCTCTCTGAGTCTGTTTCTAGGGTCTGCAGGCGTCTGAAGCTCAGCAGATGTTTGGAGAGCTGCTTCCAGCGATGGCACAGCTGGCACTGAGAGCGCCGAGCCTCCTCACGCAGGTACAGGACCTTAGTGAGACCTGCTCTGTTCATCTTCTCTATTCACTTCTTCAGATGCTATTTAATCTCTACATCTATCTTTCTCTGGGTTTTTTTTTTGGTCTCTCTTTCTGTTAATTGTCATTTTTTGCTCAGAGTTTCCTGCTGGGCTGTTTTTGCCAGCAAGAGTTTTGATTACGCTCTCGTTCTCTGAGTTTATCTAGTTTCCTTCCATTCAGCCTCCACCAATGAGAACGCTCGAGCACTCATTGATTGACAGATGTAGTCTCCGCCCACTGATCCTCCACCAATGAGAACGCTCGAGCACTCGTTGATTGACTGATGTAGTCTCCGCCCACTGATCCTCCACCAATGAGAACGCTCGAGCACTCGTTGATTGACTGATGTAGTCTCCGCCCACTGATCCTCCACCAATGAGAATGCTCGAGGACTCGTTGATTGACTGTCATTGGACATTTCATCCCTGCTTGACTGAGAATAGCGTGTTTCTACACTGGCACGCTGTGGGATTTGACTACAATCCCACGAATAATAATAACAGGAATAACAGCTATTACAGAAATATGATGAATGTCAATAAACAGCAGAACTTCTGCTACATCTCTTGATTGAAACCACGCATGACTTGAATGGAGTGAATTAAAGGGGTCATATGATGTTGCTAAAAAGAACATTATTTTGTGTATTTGGGGTAATGAAATGTGTTTATGCGGTTTAAGGTTCAAAAAACACATTATTTTCCACATACTGTACATTATTGTTTCTCCTCTATGCCCCGCCTTTCTGAAACGCGTCTTATAAAGAATATCTCTTTGGATTTGAGACTTTAGTCTTTGCAACTTTACAGATCTTCTTCATGCACCAAGAGCTTGTAACACTCCAAAGAGAAAGGAACAATTGAAATCGCATCACATGACGCCTTTAAAACCAAACTCTTTTTAGTTTGTGTTTGTTAGTTAAGTTGTGAAAGTGTCTCCTGTACATGCCAGATGGGATTTTCTAGCTGGACACTAACTAGTAGTTTAATTCCTGTTTGTGGAGTTTGTTCATCGGTGCTTTATGTGTTGTTATTATGGCCTTCTCCATTAGTGTTTAAATGCTTTAATATAATTTAATGAACTCTTTTTGCTTTCACTCAATGAGTGTTTGATTAGATTTGACTTTACATAAAGACACAGTACTCATACTTTAACTTAAGTACAATTTCTCTGTATCTTTTTACACTCCTGACATGGAATGTAGTGAAGTAAATATTTCCCAGAATGAAAATACTCTGAAAATACTAAACTAATGAACTGAAGTACAGCAACAGAGTAAAAGACGTTGTGTTGCTGTCCACCTTTGCTAATAAATCTCAGTAAAGTCAAGAGCATTTTCGGCCTGTGGAAACATTTTGGTGTGTTTTTGTTGATGAAATCAGTCTGAATCTGTGTATTTCTGCTCTGTGTGTTCAGCCGATCCCGCTGTTGAGGACGCAGCGCTGTCGATCCCTCACGCTGTCTCAGGAGCAGGTCTCGTGTCTGCTGGCGAACGCTTTCTTCTGCACCTTTCCTCGACGAAACTCTCGACGCATGGAGTTCAGCAACTATCCTGACATCAACTTCAGCAGGTGCCATATACAGCAGTCAAACACTATCAGTCCAGAGGTTCAGTATCTGAAAAGAGTGAGCCAATGATCAGAGTTTGCTAGCAACATCTCTTCATAACCCTGTACTGAAATATGATCCTGCATACTGTATCTCAGTGTCATGTGATCAGACTTTTCATATTGCATCTGGTTTACTTTGCTGTAGGGCTGCACGATAAATCGCATGCGATATTTAACGCGCATCTTGTCAGTAAAGCCGTTCTGTAATCAGCGGTAAATCTCCATCACCTGCGTGCTTTCACATTGAGCAGCATTAACTACACAGAGCCGTTGTTCTCTGACGAGCTGCGCCAAACCACGTTCATATTCGTGCGATTTTTGGCGCAGCTCGTCTGTGAACAACGGCTCTGTGTAGTTAATGCTGCTCAATGTGAAAGCACGCACGTGATGGAGATTTACCGCTGATTACAGAACGGCTTTACTGACAAGATGCGCGTTAAATATCGCATGCGATTTATCGTGCAGCCCTACTTTGTTGCCAGTTATAATTAGAAAAGAAAACTGACTGAAGATTACACAACTACTTAATAACGAATAACTCCATAAATACATACATGTGTGGTGATGAGAGACATGACGTCAGGTTTCTCAGAGGCGTTAGACAGTGTTTTCTGTGAATTTCTGTGAAAGTTGTTGTAGCTCTCGTGCATGAGCGCATTCAGTCTTCATCACGCAGGTCAGACGTCCGTGATTGGAGCTCGTCTGTCTCTAAATGTACGAACGTCGTTTATGAATATGAAATATCAGACTGGCCTTCCATACAATCTGCTCTGTGTTTTGTAGGTTGTTTGAAGGTTCGTCCCAGAGCAAACAAGAGAAACTCAAAACCCTCCTGTGGTACTTTAGACGGGTCACGCAGCAGAGTGAGTTTGGCTTCTCTGCACGTCACACACTCGTTCATTCATGAATCGTGGGTTAATGCTGTTTGTGGTGTGTTTTGTTGATCCGAGGGCCCGCCGGTCTCCTAACATACACCAGACAGTGTCTGCAGCGTCTGCCCTCCTGGTCGAGGTGAGATCGATCTTCACACACTCCACAGCGCTTCGCTTCCCACAGGCCAATAAACACTCTTCATTTGGTTTTTAGTTCAGAAAAGCAGTTCAGCAAGCTTCGCATCAGCTGTGACGGAAGCATAGAAGACCAGGGCTACGGCATGCTGCAGGTGACACGTGAAAAACATGCTCACGTTTCACACTAGAACAAGACATGATATACTTAAGAAAATGAAGACCATTCACTTTGCATTGTGGCATCATTTTCATTATCTTCATTACTGTAATGCAGAAAAGAAATCCTATCCTCCTTATTTTAATGCATTTTTATTGTTCTCATTATTCTCACAGTGCTGATTCTCTTTACTGTGATACTGAGGCTCTCAAACTCCAGACGGTCCTGCTGACTGAAACGGATTCATTTTCATGATGTAATTCTATTGTGAAATATGACCTGGGCATGCTGTGTGTGTGTGTGTGTGTGTGTGTGTGTGTGTGTGTTTTCTGGAGGGGGACTGTGTGTGTGTGTGTGTGTGTGTGTTTTCTGCAGGTGGACTTTGCCAACCGGTTCGTTGGGGGGGGAGTGACTGGTTCTGGTCTGGTTCAGGAGGAAATCCGTTTCCTGATAAACCCAGAGCTCATCGCCGCTCGGCTCTTCACTGAAGCACTGGACGATAACGAGTGTCTGATCATCACAGGTAGACACACACACACACACACTCTCTCTCACACACACACACACACACACACACACTCTCTCACACACACACAC